GCTCATCAGCCAACCTACAGGTTTGCAGCATGGAGACGATAAACAACTTGATATGATTGGAGTCGTTTAAATTTAATTAAATTCCATTATTGAGTCAAATAAATTAATTTGTAATAGGCCAATTTATTTTTATTGTCTTTTGCCGTTATTTTTCACAACATAATTCTGTTAGTCAAGGGACTAAAACAAATTGGTTGAATGTCATATGAAGAGACTAGCATTACATTTAAAAAGTGCAGAGGCAATTTACATCTTTGTTAAATAAATAAAATTTAAGTTGATAATTAAAATTTAAACAAGTACCCTGTTTGGAGTAATTACATTCACACCACAAAATGTAGAACTACTGAAATACAATCTTAGACATTGTAATGTATTTCTATCTTATTAAAAATCTAGGACAGCATTTCCGACAACAGTACATTAATGCATGCAAGATGAAGAGTTTCATTTGAAGAAATATCAACAGTAAAATTCAAGAGCTTGCTTACAATATCAGAAGGACGAATACACCGCAACACTCCTTCTGGAGCATCTTTGAGTATTAGAAAATGAGGTAGGGCCACATCACTTAGCCTTTTACCTTTTTTAAGTTGATAATAGAATCCTGCAATAAAACATTCTGAAGAAACAACCACAATAGAATCAATTTGGAATACTTTGTCACATTCTAACCGAACAACAGAATTGTTTCGTTTGCTAACTCTAGAGTATGATGGAGCATGAAAAATTTCCCCATTCATACCAAATCTTTCATAAAAGTAACATTCAGTTTGATCTGTGAATACTCCACCTGCTCGTACAAGAGCTAATCTCATTTCCTGGGAAAGACATTTTGACTTTGGCTTGCCATATAAAGACACTGAATCTATACACAAATGAGGGGCGACAAGTTGTTTACCTCTACGGTTAACTTTATCCAGGTATGCCCTCTGCTTCTCAGTCATATCAACTCTCAACTCTTTCTCCATTTTAACAATAGCTACTGTTAGTTGCATGGCTTTTACAGTCTGTTTTGAAGCACCATTGCTACTATGAACGGACTCCTTAATTTCATAATTGAAGCTTTCATAAATCAAAGCTGAATGAGCAAAGAACTGGGCAAAATCCTCAACACTGTCCTTAAGATGAGATAGGAGGTGACAACTGAACGTGACATTTTGAGGTCCATACAAATTGTCAATGCCAGAGACAAATTGCTGCAAAGAGCGATCAGAGTAAAATAGTTCACTTTTCGCAAAAGAGTTCTGAAAGAGAAGAGCAAGACCATTAACAAGCAATGACCAATGGTTTAGGTACCTCGCAGGCAACACATTTTTAAGAATGGGAACACTATAAACAATTACAAAATAAAACCATTCATGTCCCCTATAGTCAGAGCGTTCTGTTAGTGACCTAGGAGCCCTGGAAACCTCACATGTTGGTTTAATACTTAATAATCTTTTATCAACTAAGTCAATTTTGTTGTGGATCTTATAGCCAGGAACAGGAGCATTCTTACGAGGAGGTAAAAACCATAGATTACAAAATCTAACGGCAACATTGACCACAGCATGAAAAGAATCTAGGTCAATACAACGTACTACATCAAAATCTGGCAGTTCAGATAAGATTGTTTTTCCTTTAATGCCTTTCTGTGACACACCCCTAGCCTCAGCTCTAGTAGCAAGATTCATTACTTCCTCGTGTGTTCGACGTTCATATCTGGTATCCCGAGTTGTGTAGGATCTTGTTGCTCCTCTGCCCTGACGCATCTTGATACCAGGGTGGTAGCAGAAGCCACAACCAAATTTACCTAAAACAAATAAAAGAGAAACAAATTAGTGAGATAAGCTAGAGCAAGAAAACATCTTATTTAAAAGCTAAAGTAATACTGTTATGAAAAAGAAAGAAGTATTTTATGCAAGGATCATATGCATCCAAACTAAATTTAACACACTACTCACCATTGAATTGCTTTGAGTTCCGGATCATTGGTCGAGCAATGGAATCACTAATGCAACACAGAGGTTTCACTTTCACACTTTGAATGACGCCATTTCTTCTGAAAGACACACCGGTCCTGGCTAAATCTTTCAATTCAGCAACAAATGGCTTCAGGTACTCGTTACACACAGGTTTCTTTTTGGAAAGCCACATGCTTGCCATCATAACATGCTTTCTCCTCAAAACCAAAGGTAACTCATTTACAGTGACTAGGATTGGCCAGGCAGACTGCTTACTTGTAGTTGCAATCTGGAAAAGAGACAGGAAAAATCAAAAGTGCGTAAAAAAAGAAAAGTCACTGGGCGACAAGAAAATGAACAAAATCCTTACCTGAAGTCCATCTATGAAAAAATTGAGCGTTATTGTGTCTGCAGAAATGAGGAGTTTGTACATTGCTCCATCCTGAATATCTTCATAATTAAATTTATCTATCTTGGTGCGGTTTTTTGGATCAATAAGTTTTGCATGTTCTGGGAGACTTTCAAGTAATGACTGAAGTTGTGCTCGTAGTGGCAAGTACAGAAACATAGTGCCATCAGTTTTGTTTTTAACCACATCAGTTTCTGTATTGCAACCAATGCATAGAAAAGTCTTTTCCGAAACAATGCCAATGTACTTCTTGCAGGCTGGGCACACATGATGTTCTTCTAGAGCGAATGAATATTTATCAATCGCTCTCTTCATAATGTGTTTGGATGGCACAAAAGAAGATTCATCCGAGAAAACCCCTGCTAACTCAATAATATCTTCTGCTGCTGCATAAGTTAGATTGTGCCGTTTCTTGGTGGCAAGAAGCAACAATAGCTTCACCTTTTCAGGCACAGTAAGGTGAAGACCAGGGGCTTCATCTAGGACTTCATCACCATCATCAGAGTCATCAGATTCACCTGCAGGGTCATCCTGGCCTGTTGTCACATTTTCTGATATGTTTGGGCCTCCATCAGAATCATCATCATCAAGACTAAGATGTAGAAAGTAAGACTCCTGTGACATAATAAAAGAAATAGAAAATAAGGGATGAGGTTGGCTTTGTAAGGTCCTTCAGTAAAGATATAGCATAAATTCTTGTACCTCATCAGAATATTCTTCATCACGAGAATCTAAATTTCCTGCTTTGTCAGATTCCACATCAATCTCTTCATCCTCAACAATATGCCAGCTTTCTGTTTCCTATGAAAACAAAAAAGTGTTAGATTAAAAATAACAAAAAGGGAAACCTCAGTTATTACTATTTGTACAGTTGGAATCTTACCTGCTCATGTCCAGAGACAAAGGCATCACGAGGAGAGTCAAATGTATCACACGGAGAGTCAACAGCATCATTTGGAGAATCGAAACAAACATGTTCCGTGTTGAGGTGTTCGCATTCAGCATCATGCAAAGAAACGTTGACAGCAGAAACCTAAGCAAGAACACAAAAGAACAAGAAACTTATGACAAGAAAAAGACCAAGCAACACACACATTTTATTATTTCATGACCCCACAACGAGATAAAACATGTTTTGCACGAGGCAGTATCTGTATAAGTACTCACCGAAGAATTACCATGAGAAAACTGCAGCTCAGGTTCACACACTATCTGTTCAGGGATCTCGCTGCCAGAACTATCAGGCAAATTGACGTTGGCTTCATGGTCAGTGCCATTATTTCCTGACAAATTTTTCTCCGCCAAGATGACTTTAGCTTTATGATTGCGACTCTCAGCCACTGACAAGTCTTTCTCTAGTCGCAAACATTTAGAAGTAGACTCTTTAGAGCTATTTTCAGAGTCTACAAGTCTTTTCAGAGGCTTCCTGAAAGCCAAATCACAAAATTAACAACACACTCAAAATAACAAAATGACATAGAAAGGTTAGGTTACAATGATAGCTGGAAAACCTTGAGGTGCAGATCAACGTGTCACACCCACCGTTCATAAAATTCAAACTAATCATCACAAAATTATATCATCTGAAACATTGGGCAAAATGAATTAGACTTACTCTTTGGTTGCCGAACCATCACTTGCTGAAAAAAGGCGGCGTGAACGTGAGTACCTTGTACCCTTCGGCATTTCGCCCCCATTGTACTTCCATTGCTTGTACGGGCCTCGTTTCTTCTCCACCGTCGCAGGCATTGTCAACAGGAATCTCTAAAATACAAATCCGAAACGTTTCCAGCATCTCGGGGGAGGTTTGAAGCAAAACACAGGTGGTTGTTGTTTGTTGTCTTGTACAGTACTCTGGCTGGCCAGAGAGGCCTCCCTGCCTGGCTGCGACCCCGCGACTGACTGTTGCGTCGCTGCACCGCAAGTGCCCTCACTCGCTGCTGTAACTGGCTGTAGCTCTGTCTCTCTCGCACCTAAACGAGAGGCCGTGTGGGTGCGAGAGAGACAGAGAGAAAACAACACTTTTCGGATCCTCCATGCCGAGGAGGGCAGAGGAGGGGTGAGGATGGGGGGAAAGTGGTAAAATGGTCAGGGGTGCCATCAATTGAATCTGGTTGCGATACGTGGAAAATATTGACTATTCGATTCTGGACGTTTATTTACGCATGTCATACCTTAAAAAATTATAATTATGATAACTACCGAATGTTTTACGTAGGAGGACCAGAACATACACAGTTCAAGTATAGTCTGTCTCTAGTTTGGCATCCCCTCTCCCCCACTCTCCCTCTCCTCCCCCCTCGGCCGCCCCGGCCCCAGGCACCTGTCCATTCGGCTGTCAGTTATCGTGCAGTGTTGGTGGACAATTTGACCTGTTGTGGCAAAGCATTCGTAGCAGTCGTTCGCATTGGTGAAGATGGTGCGTGGTTCAGGCGCCAACAAGTCTTCGTCCCCAGGATCGTCGGAATCGACATCTGAGAGCAGCAACTTTGCTCTGGTCAAATGGCTTAGTGGGAAAGAAAAGGGCAAGTTCACCCACAACGTCCAGGTATCTTGGATTTTACATTTCGTCCCTGAGGAAGACTTTCGTAATGAGTCATACCTCGTGGAGTGGAGAGTGCCACCAAAGCCCAAGAATGGATGGCCTGTCTGGGATGCCCAAGTGCTAGAACTAAGCGGTGAGTATATTGTCTATGCTAGTTTGACTTCCCCGATGCTGATCCATTGCTTCAGATTTGTCAGAAATTCTATATTGCAACATTATGGGTATGCCATGAGTGTCTCATGCTGTTGCTCCTTAGTCAGTATACATACTTTGCTCCTAAAACTATAAACTAGTTTCTAATTCTAGAGTCTGGCCTTACCTTCTTGTCTTCAGGCTTGTGATATTCTCTGTTTACCCTGTTTTAGGTGACCTGGACTTTCTGCTTCAAAGGATGGAGGAAGAAATGGATAGCGCTCTCCATGATGGGAATCGAAGCCCCCCAAAGAATGGCAGTGGAAGCAAGCCAGTGACTACATCCACTCCTAAAACAAATTCTTCAGGCCCTGCGCTCAGTGGTAAGTTGCAGCCTCTGTAGTTCTGTTTTCTTAGAAGCAATGTAAACTGACCCTGAATTTCTATTTCAGACTTGCAGAAACTGTGCAACGTCATTTTGTCTAATGCCAGTGTTAGTGGAACAAACAATTCAACTCTAGAGGTTCCACCCGGAGAGAATCTGGTGAGTAACTTATCCCGGAGTTGTGTTAACATATATTTCTGCCTGTGGGCACTTCAATCTTATTTCTTGTTGCATTGTTTGCAGGTGAGAGTTGGAGAGGTCTTGACGCTAACAAGATCACAGCATATGGATGCAAAGCTGGCCCGAACCCCTTCAGCCATGACTATGGAGCTCATTCGGGTCACCTTTTCAGACAAAAGGTTAAAGCGATCATCGTATGCTGGGCAGAAAAGAACTCGGAATGGTGTTGTTGAACAGAAGCCGTCCTTGAAGAAGTACAGGAGTACAAAGGATATCCAGAGTAAGAATCTTTGTACTCTTCATTAGAAAGTTAATTTCCAGTTAACAGGCTTTGACATACTTTCATACTTGATAATTCTCTTGCTTTCAGACTTCGTGAACCAGAGATTTCCCCATTTCACTCAGTCTCAATTCAGCCATGCTGTGAATGCATGCACAGGAAATAATGTGGGACAAACTCCTAAGCCTAAGGTAAAATTTTATCCTTTGAATTGCTTTACTCGTATTGTACTGGTCTTAAAATATTTCGGTTGTATTGCAGTTGGTGGACCTAAGTGATAGTGAAGGAGAAGATTAACCAGTTCCTTGACCAGTGGAGATGAACCCATTCCTCGGGACTAGGATAGTTTCTATCCTTTTTTAAATTTTAATTTGTTTTTAAAATGGCCTATGAATTCTAATGATTTTGTGATGAATTGGTTGTCTATGGATGAATTCTGTGATGAATTCCAATGATTCTGTAAGATTTGAGACTTGAGTTCAAATAAATAATACAGTGCTTTCAAAATTTGTGTTTTATTCGTTAAAATTGAGAATACAATGATGCTCAAACAGAAACTTCTTTCCTGCTTTCTAGCATGTTACACCAGAAACCCCGAACCTTCATGTTTCTTCATTCACCATTTTCTTCTATTTCCATGACGTACTATGTTCTGCTCTTGAAAATTAGGGTCACTGGAACAAATAGATTGGAACTTCTTACTTACTTACTGACGTACCTCTCTTAAATTCTCGAATTAAAAGCATAAATTTTGGCATGATAATAAACTAACCACACTCCGGGCGTCTTCTGCTTGGCTGGAGCCGGCCGGGAGCTGCAGAACGTAAACATTGGTGCAGGCGGCGGTGACCTGTTGACGTCATCGGCGAAGTGGTGGTGGCGGACGGCGGACATGACGGACGCTGATGCTGGAATCAGTAGAGAAACGCTTTAAGTTTTAACACAAGCACTGAGGAATATACCTAGTGAAGGTCGGGGAATTATGTGATTATTATCAAGCAGCCACCGGAACTGGTACGTACTTGCTGTTCGGCATTCGGGAGAAGTGAGGAAGCAAGGTTGAGGTTGAAACAGTTGGCTTGGCGATGTCGTTTTTAGGCCTTGCACTCACTGGGGTTAAATCAAATATTGTTCAATTCGTTTTTGTCTCGTTGGTGTTGAGAGTAGAAACAATATATTTACTTTGGATCTATTAAATAGTTCTGACTAACAAGCCAAGATTTTAGCCTTGCTTAAGAGTTTGACTGTGCACTAATTTTTGTTGGTTATGTTCCTTAGGCTTGTATTTACAAACAACGGTCTTTGCTCTGCGTTAGCCAGCTACCGTACCATAAAACTCTTCTTTTCATCAGGTAATAACCCCCTTCTTTACCTGCATTCAAAGTGTTATGTTTCTTTTTTCTAGTTATGTTTGATATTGTTCAGGTACCTTCCGTTTCTCGAAACAAGTTGATCAGTGCTGAGCCCAAACAAAGCACTTTCCCCAATTGGAAAAACAAGCCCGCCATCGGTTGGAGAGGAGAGGGAAACATGAAGAACCAGGTATGTTAATTTTGTATTATTATTTTTATGCTTTCTTAAGCATTAGTTTTTGACACTTTGCTCATACTTGTTTGATCTCGTTCCAGGACCTGCCATGTTCCGATTCTCAGGATGCCTTGTGCCGTGGTGAGGGAAATTCTAATGCTGCTTTAAATTCATGAGCCACTTCTAGCCTCATCTGAAAATTAAGGCTTGGAAACGAGAGGGAAACACAAAAAGGAACAGGTATGTTTATTTCAAATCAACATTTTATTTCCACAGAATCTTTATTATTAAGTTTTGACACTTAAATCAGTTCTGTTTGATCATTTTAGGACCTGCTATGCTCTGGAGGGTTCTATGACCTGCTAGGTTGCCTTGCGGCAATGATAATTACGATGCTGCCTCAAAATGTGAGGACTCCTCCCTATGTTATCACTAAACCAAGGTTTCAAAGAGGGACAGTTGGGAAGGAACAGGTATGTTTATTTCATATTAACAGCCATGATTTCTTATCTCACTTGTTATTGGCACCTTCTTTATTCTTGTTTGATCGCCCTTTCTAGGACCAGCCGTGTTTGCACTCACAGAGTGCAGAGCGCCTCGCAGGCAGTTACAATGTTCCTTTGTAATTAAGGAACCACTTCATATCTGTATCGGCGGCTTGGAAGGAAAGGGGTAACAAGTGAGGAAGAGGTGTGTTTATCTTCTATTCAAATGTCAGTGTCAACAGTTTCTAGAACTCTAATTTTGTGTTGTTTATTTGTTGCAGGACTAGGATCTACTTAGCATGAACCATTGTCTTTTTCAAGGACCACATTTACTACACTGTACCTGTACTGTACCTGGAATATTTTGCATTGAATTATAGGTAATTTAAATTTAGTCTGCCTCATTTTTACCAGAACTCCTACATTTGAAGAGAAGTATCAAATTCAAATGAAAGAACATACTTTATTACTGAAATACTGTTCTTTAATCACAGTCATCAACATCATTTTTGACTGTAGATTAATACCATCTCCAAATAAGACTTCGAAGAGAAAATCGAACAGCTGTCCAATGTGCGCTTCTTGGTACATAATAGTTTGCAGCGCAGTCTGCACCTATCTTTGTACCATCAATTGTAAACAGAAGTGCAAATTATTACCGCCTTACTTTTGTACTTAGAAGGCAATGCTAAGTACGGTCGGCATCTGTTGCTGTGTTACACTGACACTGCTGTTGAACTGCACTTGGGAACTGCCCGGAACTAGGAAGAACTGCCATCATGAAATGCCACAAACTGCAGTCCAAACTGAAACGGTCCCAAAAAAGTACTACTTTTTTGGCAGTTTGCGTGCAGTTTGACTGCAGTTAACTGCACTGTGAACTGCACTTATCTGCATTGTATCTGCAGACAAACTACAGCTGCACATCTGCAGTGAAACTGTGGCTGCACCACACATAAAACTTCATATTTTTGTGCACACTCGTGCAGACTCAAATGGCACTTCATTTTGAGTTGAGCCGCAGCCTTCCTTCAGTCGCGACTGCTACGAGACTTAAGTTCTCAGGTACACTTCAGACTACTGTTCCTTCCGCGCGGGACAGACATTGTTTGAAATTTACACTGCAGACTTAACTACATAATTAGCATGCACTTACAACTGCGCACTTGTGAAGTATTACCCTCTGTTTTCAAGCGTAATTAGTTTACGCTTCTAAATGCATGAGGGAATTTCCAGAGTATGCTTCATTTCAAGCGTAACTTTGTGCTTGACTCAAGCATAGAGTTACGCTTTAGTTTTACCAGTGGAGTTGTAAGTGCATGCTAAGTATGTACTTAAGTCTGCAGTGTAAATTTAAAACAATGAATTAAAATATAACTGTAAGTCTTACCTCGAGCTCATGCGTGCGCGGAATTCTGAGGAACTGCTGTGGACCCTGCTGTTGCTGGTCGACTGGCCTCTGCTGGTCCTGGACAACTGGCCCCGTCCCCGGCCCCTGCCCGTCCCCTTGATCAGCATCTCGCATCTCAACATCGTCCTGAAACAAGAAAACATAACTAAACAAGATGTTGCTAGGAAAACGTCCTTCTTTAAATAGAAGGGTGGGCTAGAAAAAATAATTAGTAACATGACACAACATTTTAAACAGAACATTTATTTTTTTTTAGAGAGAGAACCCACCGCCAAACCCTCAGACAACCACCTGAAGGGTGGCAGTCCTACCCTCTCTCAGAAATGAATTAGCCAATTTTCTTTCACCAACACGAATGAAGGAGCCTGCCAAGTTTTATTTGCTCACAAATATGTGAGCTTGATAAGAAATGGCTTTACTCTCTCATACGAAAGGGGAGAAAATACATGTCAAAGATCTCTCATGTTTCATAATAATGAAACATGAGCTTGGCAGGTTTTTAACATTGACAGTAAATTGAGTAAACATTGACAGTTATTCCCCTTATCGCTTTTTCTTAGTGGGCTGAGGGCCCAACACAAAACTTTGCAGTAGTTTCCGCTTGGCAGTGGGCTGCCTGTCAGACCCAACAGGAGGTTGAGCAGATGCACTAGGCACCGTTGGAGTAGCCAAAAGCTGGAGCCTTGGAACAGGACCAGGCCGTGCAATAGGAGGCACTACTTGATGGGCTGCTTGCACAGCACGAATTTGGCCTCTCCCAAGCGTATGCTGAACAGGTGACATGACTCTGGGCACCACAGTGCAGCTTGCAGGTCTCTGATGCAGGATGGCGTTGACTCTAGGCGGAACAGGAGTTTCATAGGCTTGCTGCAATATTTGCTGTGTTCTAGACACTGGCTGTTGGACAGGCACATGAAGCTGAGTGGCTGGAGTTGCTATCCTTGGAGCTGGCATTCTTGGACCTGCCACCAGTTGCAGCCCAGTGCCACCCCGTCCAACAGGAGGCACTACTTGGTGAGCTGCTTGCACGGCACGAATTTGACCTCTCCCAAGCGTATGCTGAACAGGTGACATGACTCTGGGCACCAAAGTGCAGCTTGCTGCTCTCTGTTGCTGGATGGCATTGACTCTTGGCCGAACAGGAGTGTTATAGGCTTGGTGCAATATTTGCAGTCTTCTAGACACTGTCTGCTGGACAGGCACAGGGGGCTCTGTGGCTGCAGGTGGCATCCTCGGAGTTGCCACTTGCTGGGGCCTAGAGGCAGGACACACTGGCTGACGAGCTGCTAGCTCACAGACAGGCAAGGGAGGCTGAGGTGGAGCATTTGTCGCTGCTTTTTCCACTTGCTTCTTTCCTCGACCTCCTCCTCCATTTTTCGGGACTTTGGCCTCTTTCTCTGACTTCTTCATTGCTTGTTTACATTGCATGATTTTTTTCTTTTCTTCCTCCCAATGAGCGCTGTACCTCTTACAATAATTTTTTATCAGTAAGCGGCTGGCTAACTGCACAGTTTTGTTTCGCATTTCAGGACCGTGCAAGGGGCACTGGTCCGTGAAGAAATCATGATCATCCAAAGCAACCATGACTCGAGGCAACATGTTGGCTGGGTCAAGATGTGTTTTGGCAATGTAATTGAACTTGTCAGTCATAGCTTGATAGACTTGCACGAGGTGAAAGCTTGGTGTGGGAACACTCTTCTGCATTTTATGATATTCTCCACATTTTTTCAACATTTTCAGCACTGAATCATGCGGATCACTTTCTGTGTAGACATTCTCACAGAGCCTACAAGAATTGCCATCAAGACATTGACGCGCAAGCAATGCAGCACCCATGGCAGAGTTTTCAATAACAGCATTTGCTTTCATAAACTTTTCTTCTATAGCTATCTGGGGTGCTCTCAAACCACGCGTAATATGAGAGAAAGTTTCAAGCCCTGCACGCAGTTGTGATGGACCAGCTACACTCTCATCCTTATCCGATGAGAGGGTCTTCTTGTTGTTTATGAGACGTTGCATGTCTGTCAGCATTTGAGCTCCGTCATCCTGGCAATTTTTGCCTTTCTGGAGCGAGAAGTTGACATGCTTGTTGATCAGCTGAGTTCGAAAAGCATTCATGACTTGATAACAAGTAGGATGAGTGTTGGGCCCCAAAGTTGCTCTCATTTGAGAGATGAAATTTCCCAAACAATCTTGGGTAACATGGCGGAGGTTCAAACTTGTGTATTGGCCTTCCTTCTTGAGGAATCTCCACAAAGCAGGGTATGCTAAGAGATTATCTTGACACGCTTTCAAACAAGGAATGATCACTCTTTTGCCCTCTTTATCAATGTACGCCCAGGTGGCCACCTCTTTTCGCATTTCCTTCCAAGCCTCGTGGTGGAAAGACGTTTCAGTGACAAGGGCACGTTGTTCTGGTTTTGGTTTGTCTCCGGGAGCTGAACCATTGGTTATGTCAAACAAATAATCCACTTTGAGCATAAAGTTGGCCGTGTCATCTGCACCTGTAAAATAGAACAAACAGAAATTATTTGTCAATAATTTTTATAAAATTTGGCAAGACTTAATTTAAATGAGAAAATGATAAATACCTGGCAGAATAGGATTGCCCCCATTATGGGAGGACAGTTGATTGTATGACTTAATTGTATTGGCCACAGTGGCTCCTGCCACTTGAGTACAATTCTTCACTTTCATTTTTTGTTTACCCTCAGGATAAACCTGCTCATGAGTCAGAAGCCCAACTTTGAAGTTTTTCTTGTCATATTCGTAATAATCAATTATATGCTGATAATATGCTCTCTTGCATTGAGGCCCATACTCAATACAATTGTGAATATCAAGACGCCAATTATTGATGATATTCTTGAAGACATGAGGATTATCCCAGAAGGTGACAATGGTCTGCCCATTGACAATAATTTCAGGTTCTTCCACTCTTCCAGTCTTCTTTGCAGCCTCTTCATGCAACAACCGCATTGCTTTCTGATTTGCAGGGCCCTGGTCGCACACTGTTGCTGCAACCCTCAAGCCAATGTTCTGCAACTTAGTGATAATCAACACTATCATTTTCTTCAAAATTTCTCCGGGACACATGGATAGTGAAAAGAAAATTGCCAACGGCATTTTCCAATTGGAATTGGGACCAAGGCTTCGGATTAAAAATATAAGGTACTCATCAGCTGGCAAATTTGAGTTTCCAAATGAACCAAAATTTTCGAAGCCAATGATTATGCCTTTTTTCTCATTGAAAAACAGACCACCTTGACCCCTGAATTCATCCCAATTCAAGGACACAAACTTTTCTTTTGGTGTCATTGTCTCCACTTGTCTTGCTAGATGATCAAAGAAACCTTCATTAATTCCGGGCTCTAAAGGTATCCTGGAAAGAACATTCTGAATGGTACGTGAACTTGGCAAAACAAACATTTTCTCCAGAAGGGAATATGTTTTACGAGAACATGATTTTATGACAAGGCTCAAGCATTTAGATTCTTCACACCAATCACGACCACGGGGGTGTCTTGACCCATTTAATAGTTCTCCTTTAAGCAAAACATTAAGTGCAGGCGAGATTTTGTCTGAGAGGACTCTTGCATGACTTTCTGGCTTCTCTAAGTCTACCAATCGACTATTAGCTTCTTTCAATTTCTTCTCAGACCTTGCCAACCTGGATTTATACATGTGAGCGACTCTTAGTAATTTAGAGGCGTCATCAGACAAGCCATCCTTCTCGACACCAGCTTCTTTCAGGACTGATAGTTTTGAAACTCGTTGCTGAGATATCTTCTGTGCTATTGCAGCTACATTCTTGCTCTGTGATGACTTTGGAGGTGGATTTTCTTCTTGGGCTGCATTCTTTGAAGGCTGATTTTCTCCTTTCTCCGAGTCTGTCTCAACACGGACAGTAACAGGTTCTTCTGCAGCAACGTCAAGTGGTACACTGGGAAGATGTGCTTCAATGCAGACAGGCCCCATTGTAGCCTGAATTGAATCTGTCTCCACCTCAACTTGGACAGTAATAGGCTCTTCTGCAGCAAAATCAATTGGTACACTGGGAAGTGGTACTTCAGTGCCCGCAGATCCCACCTCAGCTTGAGTAGGAACCACTTCAGTAAGCCCTGTGGAAAATACAAAAATAAGTTAGCACAGCCAATGAAAAAAAGCACTCTTTGCACAAAACTAGCATATGGATGCAATCCAAGGGCACAAAATACAAGCAAAAAGCACTTAAATTAGTTCATGCACTCATTTCAAGACAGACAGAAAGAAAAGGAGAATCAAAGCACATAAGAGCATGAAAATGCTGCATTGCCATTCCTTTCAAGATTTTGTGAAGAAGATAGAGCTAGGGGACTTTCCAGAAAAGTCAATTTATTCAGCAGTAAAATCCACATCAAAATCTTGCTAGGTTCCAAATACATGAAAAAAACCACCAGCACAACCAAGAAGAGCATGTACAGTCTGTGACAAAGACAATTAAAAGCAGTACAAGCAAAGCTTTAAAAAATAAAGAGGGAAAATGAAACAGCAAACCAAACTTCAGTAATTGGAAAAGCAGAAATCAAAGCAGCCTAAATGCAGACGAAAATATCAAAGAGGAAGAGCGAAGCTTGTGGAAAGAAGTAACTTATTGCATCGTGCAAAAAGGAAGCACACAGCTAATCCATAATTATAACCTCACTTACAGTTTTGTCCACATTAAAAATGCATTTCAATAAATGCTTTGATCTTGATAATAGCAGAAGTTTAAATGACAACAACAAAGCAGCTCCCAAAGTTGATTCCTGTCTAAACAAGGCAAACAACGCAACATCCACAACCAACAGGCAGCAATAGCTGAAATAAAAAGTCTAGAGATTAAAACATATTTGTTCGGATGTGAAAAACTACAAAATTAATTGAATGAAACAAATCGAGAAAAACTGGTTTCATTGGATTTACACTACACTGACATCCTCCTGCTCCTACAGCGGTCACCTAGGAGAGAAACTTTTCATCTCATTAGAATATTTCAGGGTGATTATCTTCATAAAAAAGTTACTTGGAAGGACTTACCCAAAATTTCACTCGCAGCCATCAGCTGGTCTGTAGTGAGGGGTGTCACATTACCGAGGATGTCAGGCTCTGCATCCCTATTCAGGGTTTTCAGGGTGTTGTTCCAAAACATTCTACGGGAGAAATGATCTTTGCATATTTTCTTCTTGTGCATATCCTTCAATGGAACATTGAGAAGCTTCGGATTTCCAGACAGTCGAACCCATTTCAAACACCTAAGACAGAGCATTGCAAGAAACACCTTTAAAAAGGAAAATCCGATAAAATCTTAAGACGAACAGGTCATCGCGATAATTTCCACATCTCACAGGTTACGGAGAGTGGATACAAAAAACTTAGAGTGCAATGGTGTGCACGCAAATGCGCTCCATGTGCTCTAACCCCATTCACGTACCTGTTTGTGTTGTTTTGAGGAAACTTGTGGAGGGGATGCGTCTTATTGGTGTTTGGACATCCATGAACAGAACATTTCACAACATTAGGCATGTTCCTAGATAAAATTAAGACAGGATTAAACAGAAAAAAAAAGAAGTTCTAGGCGAAACTTACGTTCTCTCCTGCCATTTTCAATCGCAAATGATGCCATGGCGGCCGGTGCGGAAGGCGTCAATTTCGTTTTTCACCAACTTTCCAGGATAAAATTTCGGATATTTTAAACTGCAATCTGGATAGAATACGGACACTCAAAGGCTGAATCATAAATTATATTATTGAAATAACATCATGTTGAGCCGCATTAATGCCGTTTTGTTGGTTTTTATGTCGGAAAACTGGTTTGTTATTTTCTTCCCGTTGTAGTGTAAGAATGGGGAAACCTTATTCGCGCCCTTTTTAGTGCCTACCCCCACCACGGTCTCTTTCCATACCCTGGCTCTTATTTAACGTGAGAAAAAGGTTACCAAAAACACAGTTACCGGCAGCCAAAATACAGTTATCGGCACCCTTTAAGACAGTTATCGGCACCCCTTGTTAAAAAGGCAAAACATGACCGAAAGTGACGAAAATTTCTAACAGTCGTCACAGACACTCTATATCACCCCTCAGCATGTCACGAACCCCCTCTCCCTTCTGTTATGCCTCTTGCGCCCTTCATTTTAGACTAACGGACAACTAGCACCATGAGCTGCGAAAAAGACAACTTTCAAAGCGCCGAGGAGAACTTTTCCTAAATCACGTAGATCACTGGGAAAAAGTGGTCCGATTTCATTCAAATTTGGCAAGGGTCTTCCTACGGTCATAATGCATCAGAATATTAACTCCCGGACGACGCCGGAAACACCAGTGAAGTTTGAGGCCACCCTGACGATAACTGTGTTTGCGGTGATTTCTCTGGTGCAGTTATCGGCACCCCCCGAATGAGGGCAAGCAAGAGGAATTTCTGTGCACCAAGCACAGTATGCCCTCTTCAATAGATGAGGAGACGGAACCTGGCAAAGAGAATAGTTTCTGCCGGCCCACATTCACGAATTTAACGAAAGATTGAACCCCTGTTCTTATCATAGAAGATAAGTACGGGCGGCCGAAGCGGCCTCATTCTGCACTTGACTAGAAACGTGGCTCTGTTGGCTGACATGCTCAATCAAACGCGATGCTGTCTCGGTCTTGCATGCTCAAAAGGTGTCTCTAGCGACCTGCATTGGCCGCATCACTAACGGACGCGTACTTGGAGAGCAGGACCCAATCATTCGCCGAGATGACGATAACTGTACCCCTGCCGATAACTGTATAGTTTACCCTATTGCGCATAGAATCTCAACCGTTCCAGCTTGACCTCCTGGTGCCAGACTTTGAATCTCACAATCGCTAGGCTCAAAGCACTTTTTCCTCGAACTTTTCAAAATGTTTTTAAGCTCTGTTTGTTTTGTTCAATTGTCTTTTTCTTATTTTTCATAAATATGTGAAGCAATTTTCTTTTTCTCATTGGCATTGTGTGTTGTCAGTGCGCTAGGTTCTGCCATGTTTGCCCCAATAATGTGTAACAAGCTATGTGCCCATTGTGCAATAATCAAATATTGTGCAAAGAATCTCAACCGTTCCATCTCAACCTCCTGTCCTGGTGCCAGACTTTGAATCTCGCAGTCGCTAGGCTAAGAGCATTTTTTACTAGAACTTTTAAAAATGTTATTAAGCTCTGTTTGTTTTGTTCAATTGTCCTTTTCTTATTTTTCATAGGGTAAACTATACAGTTACCGTCAGTTTAAGAGCATCGCTTTTTTTTCAAAGGCCTCTAGGGTAGGGTATGACACTTAGACCCGTGCGACTTGTTCCAGACATCTCAGAAAGATCTATACAACAAAGTGGCTGACAAAGATTTCACCAAAAACTTTTTGTGACGCTCTTATTTAACCTGAGAAAAAGATTACCAAAAACACAGTTATCGGCAGCCAAAATACAGTTATCGGCGCCCTTTATGACAGTTATCGGCACCCCTTGTTAAAAAGGCAAAATATGACCGAAAGTGACGAAAATTTCTAACAGTCGTCACAGAAACTCTATACATCACCCCTCGACATGTCACGAACCCCCCCTCTCTCCTGTTATGCCTCTTGCGCCCTTCATTTTAGACTCACGGACAACTACTTGCAGAGCAGGACCCAATCATTCGCCAAGATGACGATAACTGTACCCCTGCCGATAACTGTATAGTTTACCCCAGCACAGCTCTGAACCAAATCACCCAGTCTTCTTGTTTCTAACTAACACATTTTTCAAGGGAGCAATTATTGTTCATGCAATTTATGCTCACCAAGCCGTTGGTGAGAGCTTCCTCAATATCAAGGAAATCATCCATGGTAAGGCTTAACTGATTGCGGTACTCAATTTCCGTCTTAAGTTTGGAAACATGCCTGCCCGCTAAGCGTTGGTCTGCAACCAAATAGAGAGACACACTTGTGAAAGACGATGCACAAAAAGAGTTGAGTTTGAAATTAACCCACGCTGAGAAGCCCAAAGGAAAAGTACAGTAGAATAAAAGGGGCAGTACTCACTTATTATTATATCCAGAACTTCTTTCTCCAAACCTCCATCTCGTAACGTTTGGATAAGTTCCTCACGTGTAAAGGACCCAACCTTGGTAAACACATCCATTCCTGAAACAGAAAAAAGAAATGGGCAACAGCGAGGTTTGAGCTAGACCAAATTCAATGCCACCTCAATGCAACAAGTGATGCATCAAGTTATAGCACAGACAAGCAAATGCATAGAGAAAATCAAGCCAAAGCAGAGGAAAAAAAAGATGTTGCGAGAAAAGTCGGTCAAAAAACAAAAAAAAAAGTTCCGCCAAGGCAAGCTCAGCAAAGCGGTCTTGCCGTGGACCGGCCGGGGAGGCCGGGCAGAGAGGGGGCAAGGAGGGAGGGGGTAGCTGTGAGGAGTGGGGACTGGCGCGGCGGGAGGTGAGGACGACGACAGACGACCAACACGACCATGCAGTCCCCTCCGAGCGCGCTGAATGAATGGATGGATGGGACGGGATGAGTGGGATCGGATGCAGAGCTAGAAGCGGTAGCAAGACCGCTTAAAAAAGAACATAGCAATAAAATATTTCACAAGGTAGGTTTACGCCAGACCGCGTCTTGTCGTAACAGGCTTCGCGATGTCTCGCTGCCTGTTCCTCCAATCCGCGCCTGGCGTACCTGCCTTGGCCTGCGGCGCTAGCCTGCCTTCGGCAGCCAATGGCTTGTCCATCGTCGATTATTTCTAACTTGATGCATGCCCCCCAGACCCCCCTTCATTCTAGATCCCTTGTAACTTTTTAACTAGTCGGGGCTGGGGCTTTGTTTGAAAATGAAAACTGAAAAAATATGACATCATTATCACATTAAGACCAATATCATTGGTCTTCATGCTTGTAATTACGGATTGCTAGGTTTAGGTCATGACTACGGAGTTGAGTTGATAATACACGGTAAAAACGGTACCTGGTTTTCCCAGGAGCCCTATGGCGAAGACATAGGCGATTGGGGGTTCCTGGGAAAACCAGGAACCGTTTTTACCGTGTACGGCTAGGTTTAGTTGTCGTAATTATGGATTAACATTTGTGATTGTATTTACGGATAATTTTGTCCGTACAGAAATTCTCTGGACATGGAGATGCATATTATCTGTAATACGGCTGTCAAACTCCGTAATACAAACAAACCCATCCGTAATTACAGTAAATCAATTTTATCCGTAGCTTACGGTGATGACTTTTCCGTAAGAACTCTTGAGTGTAAACGTTAATTACGTTAATTTTACCGTTATTTACGCAACTTTGAATCCAACCGGTATTTTTACATCCCCAAACCTGATTCACTGGTAAAACCAAAGCGCAGTATTACCCTCTGTTTTCAAGCGTAATCAGTTTACGCTTGAAATGAAGCGTAACAGGCTCATCCGCCAAGATTCCCCATATCTAAATGCATGGGGGAGTTTCCAGAGTATGCTTGATTTCGAGCGTAACGTCTTCAAGCGTAACTTTATGCTTGACTCAAGCATAGAGTTACGCTTTAGTTTTACCAGTGCTCAGTAAACACAATGACCATCTCAGTCCATCTTGCGATTTCGCAATTTACAGTGCTCATGCCCGAGTAAAAATAGAAGGCTGCAGAAAGGCTGACGCACGGCTGACGCATGGCTGTATGGACCGTTTTTTGGCTGTATGCATGGCTGCCGTGGCTGCGTTGCAGCCATGTCGCAGCCATAGCGACGTCCTGGACTTGCAGCCATCCACGCTGCAGTGGCTGGTCTGGCTGTTTCACGGAGCGCTTTGGCTGTGAAACGCTTCAGAAGCTGCGCACAGAAGCCTTTTGGCTGCCCTAAGCAGCCTATAAACGCTGCCACGCCCAGCCAACTTAGCTGCAATGGCTGTAAGCTGCGCGTCGCAGCGTGTTGGCTGCTGGCGCCAGCCGGGCCGTGGCTAGACGTTACAGCCATGTAGGCTGCCACGGCTGTAGGCTGCGCGTCGCAGCGTGTTGGCTGCTGGCGCCAGCCGGGCCGCGGCTGGATTTTACAGCCACGCGGGCTGCAATGGCTGTAGGCTGCGCACTGCGCGTCGCAGCGTGCTGGCTGCTAGCGGCAGCCTGGCCGCGGCTGCACTTTCCAGCCACGCAGGCTGCAATGGCTGTAGGCTGCGCGTCGCAGCGTGTTGGCTGCCGGATGTAGCCGGGCTACGGCAGGACTGAACAGCCATGTGGGCTGCAGTGGCTGTAGGCTACGGATTGCAGCATGGTGGCTGGCGGTATTCAGGCAACGGTCGTATTCCTTGATTAAAGGGCTATAAAAAATAGAAAAAAATAGACTGGGTGCGTGGTATGCTGATATTTGAGTTGAATACGTTAACATACATAAGCCATGCAAGTTTCGTAAAAATCGGGAAACTTTTTTGTTATCTTTGATATCTCGGGAACGGTAAGTCCTACATGAAATTACTTGGCAGATTTGGATCCGGAACGGTGTTCGGACCCTAGAAACTCTTCAAAGGGCTCCATAGAACTTCAAAGGGCGTAACAGGGACCCTCAAAGGTCCTGATGGGGACCTTCATGAACTAAGGAGTGAAGCCTAGTAGCGATAAGGATGCTGCCGATGGCATCCACGAGGCTGCAGGATGCGGCCGAGATGTGGCTGTGACCCGCAGCTTCATAGCTGCCGGGGGCAGCGTGGGCCGGGCGAAAGAAGGCTGCCTGGAGCATCCTGAAGGCTGCGGGGTGCAGCCTACAGCAGCGCCTCACAGCCTCCAGGCTTCCGGGGACAGCCTTTCTTCGCGAGCCACGCTGCCCC